CTTTTTCTTCTTTTCCTGCTCCTCCCCTCTCAATTCTATTCTTCGGCCTCTTCCTCTTTTTCCTCCTCCTCTCTTCCTCATCTTCCTCTTCCTCACCTCCTCCTTCTCCTCCCTCTTTTCCTTATATGTCTCTTCCTCTTATTTCTCTTGTTCCTCCTCCTCTTCGCCCCCTTCCTCCTCCTTCTCCCACGTCCTTCTTCCTCTTATTCCTTTTCCCGTTCCTTTTATTCCTCTTTTTCCTCCTCCTTATCCCCCTCCTCCTCCTCTTCTTCCTCCAGCCCCACTGTTTCTCATCCTCATCCTCCTACTCCTACTCGTCTTATTATTTTAGTCTCTATCAATCTTGCCTTTTTTGTATTGAAACAATCTCTGCAACTTTCCCTCTATTTTTCCTCCTACTGCTGCTCCTCCTCCTCTTCCTCCTTTCCCTCCTTTTCTCCTCCTCCTCCTCCTGGGAAGAGGAAGGAGTAGAGGGGGGGTGAAAAAAGGTAAGAAAGGGAAGAAAATGAAAGGGATAATTAGGAGAGGAAGTAGGAGGAAGAGGGAATGAATCATTATATTCACTCTTTATTATTTCATTGATAGTATTATTATGTATATAATTACTCACGCTGCATTTATAACTTCTTGTATTTTGAATAGTATTTAGGTAAAACAAGTGAATAGAATCAGTATGAAGTCATCAGTAAGTAAAAATGTATATACACAAAAATCTCATCATTTTACGTTTGATTAAATATATGTAAATTTTGAAAAATGATCTTTAATTAAGTTAATGCATTAGGCAACATAAGCTATTTGAAGACCAAGGAATTGAATAACAAATGTATTTATATTCCGCATGTTAGCTTAGTGATAGTGATTCCGTTATACTCTTCATTACCTAGGAAAAAAAGGAAAAAGGGAATGAAAGAAAGGAGGAAAGGGAATGAGAGATTAAAAGGGAGGAAAAAGAAAGAAGGGTAACATAAAGGGGGGGAGTAGAGGATACGAAAGAGAGAATAGAAGGGAAAATGGGAGAGGAAGCGGGAAATGCAGGACAAGAGTTTATTAGGAATCAGAAATGGGAGAGAGAGTAAGGAAAAGGAGAGGAGGAGGAGGAAAAGGGAAGAGAGGCGAGAGGAAAAGAGCAAAGAAAGAACGAATAGGAGATATGAGATAAGGGAAATAAGGGATGAAGAAGAAGGTTAGGAAGAGATGGAATGCGAAGGAGAGGAGAGGAAAATGAAGAGGAAACGAATGAGAGGAGAATAGGAGAAAGGGGGATATAGGAAGAGATAATTTGAAAGGAAAGAAAGAGGGAAATGAAAGAACATAAGAATGAGGAGGAGGGAGGAGAGAGAAAAGAAAATATAATTGTCGGGATGGGAGAAAGGAGAGCATTTTTCGTTTGTTTGTTTGTTTGTTTGTCTTGCTTCAGTTTCCACGTGCTTTCCCGATGCATTTCTGTCGTTTTCTTGTTTTCGTTTGTTTTTGTCTTCCTATTTTCATGTCGTGCTTTCCTACTTCTTGTCATTGTTATTTTTATTACCTTTCTTCTCCTACTATTATCTTTATTATCATTTATTATTATTATTATTATTATTATATTATTTATTATATACTACTATTACTATTATTATTACCTATTATTACTATTACTATTTATTATATTATTATTATTATTTATTATTATTATTATTATATATTATTATACTACTACTACTACTACTACTTATTATTATTATTATCATTATTATTGTTATTATCATTACTATTATCATCATCATCTTCATCCTTATCATTATTTTTCTTGTTTTATTATATGTATTGTTAAACTCATAATCAATATTCTTATTATTATTACTGTTGTTATTATCATCATTGTTATTATTATTATTATTATTATTATATTATTATTATTATTAATCATATTATATCATCATTATTATAATTATTGTTATTAATATCATTTTAATTACTATTAATATCACTATTATTATCATTGTTATTGTTGATGTTTTTTGTTATAATCATCATCACCATCATCATAATTTCTCATCTTTTATTCAAATCATAATTATTATTCATATTATATTATAATATATTTTTCCTCCTCCTCCTCCTGTCACTGTCACCCCTACTTCCTCTTTTTTTCTTCTTCATCTCCTCCCCCTTCTCTTTTATTCTTCTTATTTCTCTCCCTCCTCCTCCTCCTCCTCCTCCTTCTCCTCCTCCTCTTCCTCTCCTACCTCTTAGACCTCCACCTTCATCTCTACCTCCTCTGCGTCCACCTCCTCCTCTTCCTGGGTGAGAAGGAGTAGAAAGGGAATGAAAAGAGGAAAGAAAGGGAAGAGAGGGGGGCGTGAAAGGAAGGAAAGGGATGGTTAGGAAGAGAGGAAGTATAAGGAAGAGGGAAAGAAAGAAAAGGACTAAAAGAGAGGGAAGAGAAAAGGAGAAACTGAAAAGGGGGGAAGGAAGAGAAGGAAAGGGGAAACGAGGACGAAGGGAAGAGGAAAGAAGGAAAATATGGCATAAAGAAGATAGGAGGAGAGGGAAAGCGGTCATCGATGTCATTCGTATTCATATTATTGATGTTACAATTATGAGTAATTGAGTAATATATATATATATATATATATATATATATATATATATATATATATATTATATATATTATATATATATATATATATATACATATACATACATACATACATACATATACATACATATATATACATATATATATATATATATATATATATATATATATATATATATATATATATATATATATATATATATATTGAATAGTTTTAATGTAAAGTCATCAGTACTAGAAAATATAGTGTGGAAATCTCACTTGTTTTTAGGCCGTCACACCAGCACTTTTTCTATCATTTTTTTGACAATGTAATTAACATATATACATACATTCTCGAGTATAGCTCTTGAATTGACTATGTTTGGCTGAAAAAGTTGACGTTAAGGTTTTCTGACGGAAATGATCATTACCGTCTGACTGGAGAATCGACAGTTCGCTCAAAAATGGAGAAAATTTCAGAAAATTGTCAAAAAATTGACGGAAAAGCTGCTAGTGTGACAGCAGCTGAAGTGGATTGTGAAAATTTGAATTGTGCGAAAATTACGTTTCAAATTGAAGTGCTGTCATGGAAGAAACTATTTATTTTCGTGTTTCGCATCTTGTCTGTCAAACTTGTCTCTTTGGTTTTGAAAAAATCTCTGCAACTTTACCTTTATTCCTCCTCCTCTTCGTCTTCCTCTCCCTCCTCCTCCTCCTGCATCTCCTCTTGTGTCTCTTCTTCCTCCTCCTCCTCTCCTTCTCCACTTCCTCTTCGTTCTCTCCCTATCCCTAGACTTGTGCCTCCTCCTTCTCCTCCTGTTCCTCCTCCTCCACTTCCTGGCTGGGAAGGACCAGAAGGGGAATGAAAAGAGAAAGAAGGTGACAGAGAGAAAGGAAGGAGAGGAAGTACGAGGAAAAGGAAAGGGAAAGAAGGATTGAATAATAGTAAAGAAGGGAAAAGGGAAGAAAAGAGGATATGAATAGGGGGATAATAGAGAAAATGGAAGAGGAAAAGGGAAGGGGAGAACAAGAGGGTAGGGTGTTCGGAACAAGGAATAAGAGAGGGGAGGGATTGGGTAGAGAAGTGCAAGGAAAGGAGAGGGAATGGGAAGGAAGAGGAGGATTTAGAATTAATTATCATCACCATTATTTTAAATTGTCTTTATGGGGATAAAGTAAACAGTTTTTATTATTATTATCATTACTATTGTTATTATCATCATCATTGTTATTATTATAATATCATTATTTTTACTATTATCATTATTATCATTATTATTATTACCATTAGTATTATCTTTTATTATTATTTCTGTTGTTGTTGTTATTGTTATTTTTATTGTATATTATCATTATCATCATCATTGTTACTATTGTTATCGTTATTGTTATCATGATTATTTTCATTATTATCATGATCATTATTATAATTATTGTTATTATTATCATCATCTCATCATCTTCATCATTCATCATCATCATTGTTATTATTATCATTATCATGATTTTTTTCTATCATTATTATTTTGATATTCTCATTATCATTATCATTATTATTACGATTATTATTATCTTTAGGATTATCGTTGTTGTTATTGCCGCTATTTTTCGTTTTAAAATTTAAAAAAACCCTCCTCTTCCCCTTCCTCCTCCCCCTTTTCCTTTTATGCCTCTTTCACTTATTTCTCTTTTCCTCCTCCTCCCCCTTTTCCTTCTCCTCCTATACCTCTCAACCCTCCTCCTCCTCTTCGCCCCCTTTCCTTTTATTCCTTTTCCTCTTCATCTTATTCCTCTTTTCCTCCTCCTCCTCATCTTTCCCCACCTCCTCTTCCTTTCATTCCTCTTCCTCTTCCTCTTATTCCTCTTTTCCTCCTCCTCACCCCTCCACCTTCTCTCCCCCCTTCTTCTCCACCCCTCCTCCTCCTCCTCCTTTTCTTCCCCTTCCTCCTTCTTTTCTTCTTCCTCCTCCTCCTCCTCTTCCTGTACCATCTTCTAGACCTCCGCCTTCATCTCTACCTCCTCTGCTTCCACCTCCTCCTCTTCCTGGGTGGGAAGGAGTTAGAAAGAGAATGAAAAGAGGAAAGGGGGGGGGGGAGAGAGAGGAGTGAAAGGAATTAAAGAGCATAAGAATCGTGCTTCTCCTCCTCCATTTAGTGTTTCTATTTGGATATTAATTTTGTCATTATGATTATAATACCACCAATAACTATTATTATTATTACCATCGTTATTGTTGTTGCTGTTATTGTTGTTTTAATCATTATCATTATTATGCATATAATTGCCGATGCTGCAATTATAACTTATTATATGCTGAATAGTATTTAGGTAAAACAAGTGAATAGTTTTAGTATGAAGTCATCAGTAAGTAAAAATATATATATTCTAAAATCTCATTTTTTCACTGCGGTACAAATAACTCATAAATTTTGAAAAGGACTTATAATTAAGTTAATGCATTAGGTAACACAATACCTCTACTTCTCTTCCTCCTCCTCTTCTTCATCTCCATCCTTCTAGACCTCTACCTTTACTTCTAACTCATCTGCTTCCACCTCCTCGTCCTTCTCCTCCTGGGTGCGAAGGAGTAGAAAGGAAATGGAAAAAGGAGAGAGGAGGAATAGAGAAGAGAAAGAGTGGAGAAGGGGAGGAGGAGAGCAAGTACGAGAAAGAGGGAATGAAAGGGAGGAAGGGGAAATAAAAGAGGGGAAGGAGAAGGAGGAGAGAAAACGGGGAGGGGGTAGGGTTTTAAGAATAGGGAATAGGAGAGAAGAGGGAAGAGGAGAGAAGGGAAATAAGGGATAAAGAGGGTTTGCATGAGAGGAAAATGAGGAAATGAAAGAAAGGAGAAAAAGACGAAAGGGGATATAGGAAGAGAAAATTTGAAAGGTAAGAAAGAGGGAGTAGGAGAGCATAAGAATAAAAAGGTATTGTTATTATTATTATCATCATCGTCATCATTATATATATATATATATATATATATATATATATAATATATATATATATATATGTGTGTGGTGTGTGTGTGTGTGTGTGTGTGTGTGTGTGGTGTGTGTGTGTGTGTGTGTGTTGTGTGTGAAGGACCAGAAGGGGAATGAAAAGGGAAAGGTGACAGAGGAGAGAAAAGGAGAGGAGTAATTAGGAGGAAGTACGAGGAAGAATTAATGAAAGAATGAGGGAAGGAAAAGGATTGAGCGATAGGGAAAAGGGAAGAGGAGAAGAGGATATGAAAAGGGGAATAACAGGGAAAATTAAAGAGGAAAAGGGAAAAGGGAGGACAAGAGGGTACGGTGTCCGGATAAGGAATAAGAGAGAGGGAGGAACATTCTCATCCAGGTTATTTTATAGAAATATGATGATGCACATTGTATATACAAATGTTCTACCAGATTATCTTATGTCTGCATTCACTGATTCTATCTAATTAATTAATAAAAAACGTTCTAGCTGTATAGATCCTTGGCACCCCTTGGCAGGTGGTCGAGGCGGTAAGGCAGTGAGGCACCGGTGGGTTCTCCTGAAGGTGGTGGTGGAGTTGAATTTGTCGCAGGTTTATACTTCATTCTGCGGGAGTAGTGTAGGTGGTACAGAGGACAAGGCAGGGACACCCAGGGAGGAGCGCGCCCTGCCAAGTCCGCGAGGTCGAGCGGTCAGTCTCGACAGCTCAGAAACTGCTGTCAACAAAGTTCGTTTTTAAAGAATCCAAGATGGGAAACATCAAAGAATCAGAATGAAGACAATTTCAGAAACATCGGGTCTCATGGCCGTTCCGGGAACAAGTTATACCTCATCATATGCCGTGTATGGTTCACATAAACTGGATGTGTTGTTACAGCCGAAACATTGTGGTTCGGGGACAGACTAGCCGACTATTCATGAAAAAACATCCGAATATCAATGACGAAAGCAGTTACAGACATAGTGATTTAGAAATAGCATTTCCTAACGAATGTTTTGAGTATAGACATAACATATTTATACATGAAGACATCAGAATCACAACATGGGAAATGTATGCGAGCAATAAGGGTTGGATTGGCGTGTTCTAAGGTCACTTCCTCATTGTCATCTCGCTCGGGGCGCAGAGCACGCTGGAATACTTGTGAAATAAGAAATACATGACTTTTGTGGTCTGCGAGGGGAGAGCGACGAAGAGAGCAGGTCACTAGAGGAGTAGGAAGGATGAGGAGGAAAGGGGGAGAGAGGAGAGGGAAAAAGAGCGAAGAGAGGACGAATAGTAGAGATGACAGAAGGGATATGAGAAATGATGAAGATATTGTTGGTGCTGCTACTTTAAGTTTTAGTTATCATCATCATTATAATTCATATAATTGCTGATGTTAAAATTATAAGAAAATATTTCCTAATATTATGTAAAGGATTAAAGTTAGAAGTTTCAATGCAATGTCATCAGTACATGGTAATATATTTTGAAAAAAAGTAAAGTTTACATGAATTGAGTAATGTTTTGAAATGTTTAAAATTAATTTATGATCTTTTCTTTACTGTTATTGTTGCTTTGTGTCATTATGTATTATAATTATCATCATTATTGTTACTATTGTAATTGTTATTATCATGACTATTATGATCATTATTATGATTGTTATTATTTTTATTATAATTATTATTATTTCTACTATTTTTGGGGGGGAGGGGTGTTGTTGTAGTGGTAATAATAGTAGTAGTAGTATCATCAACATCAGTATTGTTATTATTATCATTATTATTATCATTTTTAGTATTATCATTATTATCATTGTTTTTCTCATTATCATTATCATTATTAGTATCACTATTAATATTATCGTTGCTGTTATAGCTGTTATTTTCGTTTTGAAATAAAACCTCCTCTTCCCCTTCCTCTTCCTCCCCCTTTTCCTTTTATGCATCTTCCACTTATTTCTCTTTTTCCTCCTCCTCCTCTTCGC